GATTAGTACATTAACATTAAAAAATAATAAAAATTAAACCGGACGACTTTTTAAACCATTGTTAAAACATAATCTTTTTTAAACATAGATTTCCGTTAAATAAAACTTTAAATATTGAATCCAAGTTTTATTAAAAAAAGCTTTTATATTTTCAAGCAATATGTATGTCATATTCCACAGCTTTCAATCCAGACACATTCGTTTGATTTTTTCTTTTGTTTAGATATGAGATCAATACAAATGACGCTTTTTTTTTGCAAAATACCAAAACATAAGCAGCCATCGTCTAGAATTTAGTATTAAACTTTTCAACGTACGTTGACCTAAACAAAACTACAGCATTCGATGTCATGGGTTGCTGTGGAGATAAGAAAGAAAAACCAACAGACACAATAAACGATTATGGGAATGTGGGTCTGTCGGCGGATTTCAACACATATAAATAATGAGAATGTACGAGTATGTTCATAGCATCAGGGTGATCAGTGAAAATTATCCATGAGTATACTTAAAAGGGCATATATAATTACACAAGATCAAAAGAATTGAAAACATGACCCCAAATTTCATCGCTTCAAATTAGTTTCTGACAATTTGAATTGGATTTAGAAAAAGTCCCACGTTTCGAGATGAATGATCAGCATTTAAAAATAAGCAAAAAAAGTCGTTATTGTTGGCCACATGGTCGTACGCAGGTCAAAAGAAATAATTGCAGAATGCATCCAGAAGTCTATTGTTGATGAAGTGAAATGTGCAGTATTCCCTCCGTTTTTAGCGGATAAAACTACGACTATCAATCTTTATTTGATTTGAATTTTTTAGCTTTTTCAGTTGTCGATAAAATGTAGCAGAGTGAACATGTTTTCGCAGAGCCATTTTAAGGGCGCAGAACAATTAATTGATCGTTTTCTTTCGTTAAACACATTTTTTTGCATTCCGACAATCATTTCAAATAGGGCAAACGTATTTTTTTATTAATTTCCATAAAATGCACAGTAAACTCCAATAAAAAACGGAAACACGAATACTCTAATAAAATATTTAATATATTATATTGTATAGTTTTTAAAAACAATGAATATAAAATAAAAAATTTATGAAGCTTGAAAACAAAAAGGGTTCAAAGGTGTTAATTGTATCTCAACACTTATTCACATATTAGGTATTTTCATATTAATATATTATATTATAGTTCTGTTTTTAGGTTGTTGTGATGCTGTACATTTTCATCACCGATTTTTATTCAATTTTTTATTAAGTTAAATGTTATACAAAAAAATAGTGACGAGGAGTTCCACAAAATATACATGAAACAGAAAATATTCCGACAAATTCGGGGTTGAAGTTTCAATCCCATGAAAGATTGGTACGCAAAGTATATGTTAAATGTAATTAGTTCCAACTCCGAATCTTTTTATAGAACTACATAATATTTCCCATATTTAGACGAACTAAATGTAAATTTGGCAAGCCGATTTCTGGTAAATAAAAAAATACTTACTTATTTCGCTGCTGACTTAACAGAACGGTTGTTCCATATACCGAGCTTAAAAGATATTTCGAAGCGCGTAGGTCTTGTGCGCAACTCATACCATTTGAAAGACCATGTTCCGAGAAGTTGTGTTTTACTTGCTATTTTCATCGGATTCGTGGCCTTTCCCTTCTGCGTGAATTATTACTTGGCTCACTTTTATATGCCTTTTGAGTGGGGTGAATTCTCACCCATTCTCACAACATGACCTAGCGAACGTAGTCGCTGAACCTCAATCCGCCTGACTATGTCGATGTCAGAGAATGAATGATATAGCTCATGGTTCATTCGACGACGATATTCACCGTCGACGCAGATCGGCCCATAGATCTTCCAAAAAAACATTTCTTTCAAACACTCCAAGAGCTACCTAATCTGACAGACTGCTTCTGAATTCGTTCAAAGTTGGCTGTTACCGCTCGCAATGTTCGACCCATTATGTCGATGTCATCGGTGTAAGTAAGTATCATATGCTTTTTGATATGCAGAGTGTCATTTCTGTTTTCAATTTTTTTTTTATACATATTTTTTATTATCTAAGGAAAAACATCCTCTTCGTTACGAAATAAATGATCTATAAATATTATTTTTGTTTAATACAAACATAGCACCGGTTATTGGAAAACTCTGTAAAGAGTACTTTTTTTAAAGAAAATTAACATGTTTTATTCCGCTGGTAAATTTAATGTACATATGTCTATTCAAAATTGCTGGAAACTTCCGAATGATAGACTTACTATTTAATTAAATTGTAAAATAAAAGCGTTAATTTAAAACATAAACCAACTATCACATCACAATATACCGCTCTATATTAAAATGTTAATATCCGATTTAGAAATTTTAGTTTTGCAAATGTTCACAATGCCGTTTGCATAATTTTGTGAATTGACAACCAATATATTTCCAATAAAATGTAAATAACGACCATAAATGATAATGAATTAAAGTGGGTAGGCAGGTAGCAGCAGTGAAAGTTGTTAACTATAACAACTTGACGAATGATTCTTTATTGCCCATCATCCAACTGTGTGAATGACAATGGGAGATTTATATGTATACATTTAAGTATATAAAATTACATTACATAATAATTATAATGAAATCAATATCAAATAAATAAAATACATTTTTCTGTTCTGCTTGACGATATAATTAAAATTCTATTTAAATTTGGGTTTTGTAAAATTAAATAATTTTAATAACAATAACAACAACTAGAACAACAACAAGAACGTCAGCAATACAATCATCGATGGTGTGCATATGTGTGTGTGTACTTGAAAAATATACAATGTCAAAATGTTTACACATCCAGTTCTTTGAACAGAAAATCTGAATAATATTCATTTATTATTGCTACAGTTTCACAAACAATAACAACAACAATACCACCAATGGTAGTAACAAGCGAGGCAAACCAATAACAACACTCCATCAACATTTACAACAACAAATCAATTTCAACTTTTGACCCATCACTCCAAAACCAAACCGTTGATGATAACGACGATGCTGCTGCTGCTGCCGCTGTTCTGCTTTAGGTGATGATCATAATTTGACCAAACCTCAAAGCCACCAACTAGCCAACCAACAAACTCATCGAAATGTTACCAGCTGAACACTGAACAAAATAACAACAACACAACACGTTCTTTGAACTTTCATAGTTTTTGTCTTTAGGCGAAATTTCTTTCGTCTGTAGTTATTTTATTTTTTTTCTTCTTCTTGTTTTACCTGTTGATTGCTGTGTGTGTGTGTTTTTTTAATTTTTCATGGTCACTCTACGGCAATTATTGTTGTAATGTAAAATAGGGTGTTATTGTTAGACTGTTGAAGTGCTCTATGAATAAAATTTCCGATTTACACTTTCAATCGTAGCAATGAAACTAGTGTGGAAAGCGAGAAAACAAAAAAATTCGACTAAAAAACTGTCAAAATTCGGGTTAAAGACCATTACTGAAAAGAAATGAAATTTCATGTAGGTTATAAACCCAGTATAGCCACCATTAATATGGCAACTATCGCTAAAAAAGAACTAACAACGCTGAAATTTCATGTAGTTTGTCATTGAAATAAACTAACAAAACGGTTCATAGCCACCTGAAGTTATAATCTTGAAATTTAGGTGAGGGTCATTCTTGTTCCAAAGGTGTCAGATAAGACAGAATCGACCTAGAACTCTTAAATTAAAATGAGACTCACTGATGGAGTGTAGAACATATGTAGCAAAGAGTTTCTTGGGCATTCGAACTATAAGTATCGGAAAAGTACAAATATGTATAGCTAAAAACTTGAAATTTGGAATGCGAATTATGGTTAAGATGTAGGGTCGACATCATGAGGTGGTTTTGAAAACGTGTACTTATGGATACAGAAGTACGAAACTTTACTAAATTTGGTACAATTTGAATTTGAAGAAACGGATGAAGCTGGAATTCTAATATTTAATATTAATATTACCGTCGGGTGTAGGATTGGGATATGTACGTAGTTGTATATATAATCGGTGCAAATTGGATTTGGGTGAACCGATATACCTGAAACACTGAAATTTGGAAATAAGATTACTGTTGAAGTATTTGATTGTGGTATGGATGTAGTTTTGGAAATTCGTACTTATGGACTCTAAGTGGTCCTACATTTGATAAAATTTGAATTTTGGGCTATTCCAGTTTTAGCGGTTTAATTTGGAGTTAGTGTTACTGTTGGGAACTGGAATAAGTAGAAAGTTTTGGAAATTTGTACTAATGCGTACTAGATGGTACCAAATGTTGATTTGGGTGAACCGATAGGGCTGGGATCCTCAAATTTATGGTTAGGATCATTGTTTGGGTTTAGAATTGGATTTGGGTGAACCGATAGAGCTGAAATCATGAGATTTGATCATTATTCGGATATTGGATTGGGCTCTTTAGGATGTTTTGGAAATTCTTACTAAAGTGTACTAAATTTGGTACTTTGTAACTTACGATTTATTTTAAATGTGTTGTTAGTCATTAACGATATCGTTTTTCCCCATTCTAATCAATTTAAATAAAAAACTCATAACGATAGCCTTCCAAACATATTTATTATTTTTATTTTTTACATCATTTACCTATGACCTAACATGACATGACTTGCTGTAGGGTAAAGAATCTGTCATTATTCATTTTCACCGCTATTCCCCCAATTTTGCCAATTATTAATAGAACCCAAGCTGTGTTGTTGTACCATTTTTTTTTCTTTAATTTTGCATATATAATTTTGGTTAGGGCGAGCTTATCTTTCTCTCAGCTATCTTCTGTGGTTTTTTTGTAATTTAATTCTCAATCGCATTTGCTTTTGCGCACTTTCGGTCACCGACAAACAGATCGTTGACCAGAGTTTATATAAGAACAACTAGAAAGTAAGACGCGCGTTTAGTTATTCACAAAATTTCACCCATAACGAACGTAGAGGTCAAGTGGTCAAAAATCGAGACAAAATGAAATTCGCAACATTGCTGCTGTGTGCGGCATTTATTGGTAGCTACGCCGTTGTAAATGGTAAATTGAAAAATTTTGTTTCGTAATACATAGGATAATTAATATTTTTTTTTTTTCATTAAAATTTAGCCAAAAGTTCTGACCATGAACAGCAAACAAAAACATCGGCCTCAAGTGGCGTTGTTAAGCCGACATCGGCTCCATTGGTGACATCAACTGTGGCTCCAACCAAAGCTCCCAAAGTGAGTCCCACCAAAGCTCCTAGTGTAAAAGCCAGCGGTAAATCCAACAATGCCTCCACGAAGACTACCTCCACCACCACCAAAGTTATGGAACCAAAGCCAACAATGGAAACTCCCAAGGCTGCCCAAAAGCCAATGGTGGAAGCTAAACCCATTAACATGCCCGCCATGGATGGCGATATGTTGGAAATGCCCAAAGAACTTAAACCCTTAGCTGTGACCGGCTTTATTACTCAAAATGGCAACATCTATGAAATTGAAGACAAAGATGGTATTGGCAAAATTGAGGGTCGCCAAAACACCGAACCCGAAGAACACATTTGCAATTATGGCTCTGTTGTTGTTTACAGTGATGTCCCATGCGACCAGGTGACCAGTATTAAAATTAGTGAATTCAAAAAACCCGCCAACAAAGACAAAGAAGAAGAGGAGGCCAAACCACAGGAAGAAAACCAAGCCAGTGAACAACAGGATCAAAACCAAAATAAAGATGAACAAAATGTAGAAAATAAAGATGAGAACAAAGATAAAGAACAAGATGGTGAAGAAGAACAAGAGGTTAAACCAGTCCGACGTCGTCCAAATAGTAAGAAACCACGTAACAAGAATAGAAGACGCCAACAAGCAAATAAACGTCGTAACAGCATTCGTCGCAGAAATGGTCCAGCTAGACGTCAGGGTCAGAATCAACGTCGCAGCCAAGACGAACAGGCTTTGGCCGAACGTAGACGTCGCCAGCAGCAGAAGAGACGTCGTCTACAACAAGCAAATAACGGAGGTTATCGTCGTCAGGGACAGAACAAACGTCGCCGCAATGGTGGTGGTAACAGACGTCAACAGGTCTACATTGATGATTACGATTATTTGGATTACAATCGTGGCCGTCAATTTTAAGTGTCATAACTGGGAGTGTGATTTCTGTAAAATGAAGAAAATTACGATTTGAATTGATGTGTGAATAAAATGAAACTGTGAAATGTTTTTTTCCGCTTTGGGTGTTTTATTTTTAGGAAGTATTATAAAAACATTTTTTTTCGATTATATAAAAATAATTAGTCGATATATATTAAAATTAGATTATATTATCCCAGTTCAGCTGAGATTTTAAGCTAATGTTTTAGGATCAATAACAAAAGAGTACCAAGACCTTAGTTATGAGAAGCCACCTAAAATGTCATCAAAAGATTACACAAGAACTTCGCGTATTAGGAAAAAATTATTGATGAGTGAAAAAAGGCCGATACGCTATCTTTAATGCAAATTCTGGTTGCACAATGTAATTTTGAAGGAAATATGGACATGTGGAAGAGTTTTTTATTCCGTAAAACTTTAAGGAAAATTTTCGCTGATAAATTCTGACTATTTATAATTCTATTAATTAGAAATAGTCTGCAACTGCCACATCGGGTGTAAAATATTGATGTGAAAAAAAATTTTGCAGAATGTTTGCTATCCATTATGAAACCGAAATTATCAAAACTCCGGTTGGAAGTTTGTTGTTGCTGAAAAAATTAAAATGCACTGTATAGGATAATTCTGTACACAAAATGTCTCTAGAGAAATTGTTCATCAATGTGTGTTGAGAAAAATTTATTTATTTCTGATGCCTGAGCTAAGCAGTGTAGTAGCAAGCAGATGGATACCACCTTCTGTAATTGATTAGAAAAGCTCTGGCTAGCTCGAGTATTTTTTTTTTTTTTTTTTTTTGACCAGAACTTCTTGTGGTGACTTCATGATGTTCTTTATTATACACTCAGTATTATGGCTGATCAGGATTTATAAACTTTACTTTGGCCATTTTAGACAATTTAGAGTCGATTTACAAATGCCCGTCTGTACATCATAATATTTTTTCTAAAATTAAATCACTTACGAAGATGATTAAATTGTCAAAAAATTGGAATAATTTTTCTATTGATTGCACATAATTACGTTGTACGCAATATTATGTTGCGGAAAAAGAAATCCAATGATCGAAGTTGGCCGGCATATTAGCAGGAGCTAAACATCGACCATAAAACTATTTTAAATCATTTACATTAAGTTGGAATCAAAAAGAAGCTCGATGTTTGGGTGCCACACACAGTAACAGAATAAAATATTATGGGTCGAATTTTGCGAAGCCTTGGCCAAACGGAATGATATAGACCCATTTCTTAAACTAGGCCATACACATCTACAGTTTGTGGCCTAGTTTAAGGCCACATACATCTACAGAGACTCGCCAGAAACTTTGGGAGCTTGGTTGGGAAGTTTCGATGCACCCGCCATTCACTCCGGAGTTGGCACCAAGCGATTATATTTTTTCAAAATTTCTTTAATGATAAAAAATTGGTATATAGGGAGGATTAAGAAAATCGACTTCTGGAGTTGTTTGCCAATAGAGATAAGCATTTCTATGAGTGAGGTATTATGAAGTTACCTTTAAAATGGCAACAAATCATACAACAAAACGGTGCATGTTAAAAAATCCTATAATTCATATAAAAATAATTAAAGCCGAATATGGGGCCCAAACGTTTTCTGGGTCTGGGTAATTTTTCGCTATATGGAAAAAAATGAAATCATGTTCGAAATCAACACACGTAAGTTTTATATCAATTTAATATCTTCCATGACAAACCATTTGCCAAATAGTCATATTCGGTCAGGATCATTAGGACCTTAATATTTTTTATTTCGCTACTCGTGTTGTTCAATATATTTTCCATCCCAAACTCCATCCTATAAGTAGTCATACTGTGGTTGTCGGTTTGCAAAAAATTATAGAGAATTTAATCCATTTATTCAAACATTTATTCAATCCCTCATGTCTATAATACCCATTAATAGAGGGTAAAAGCATATTTTCTATTATCAACCACATTTCACTGAACAGCTGCAAATCAATACAGAAATATATGTATATACATGCAAAGATTTTGAAATTGCAACCCAACTAAAAAACATTTTTGTAATTTTATACCCTTGACTGCATTTGCTCTTGCAAAACAATTTAGTTTCGGAAATTTTGAGGCAAGAAAAAAGTCTGTTATCTATTATATAAAACACAAAAATCTACACACTTTAGTCGCACTCACTTAAGGTCCTCTCATTAAGATTTTGTTTTCTAAATCAACAAACACACATATACATCGAGAGACGCACACAAAACTACACATGTACGAACATACATATATCAAGAATATATATGATGACGTGTTTATAATATAAATAAGTAGTGTAAGCAATGAGAGTGTGCATCTCTGTGTGTGTGTGCGAAATGCACACATGTCCTTGGCATCTATTGCAATTTAATGTGAGTATACCGACACACTCACACAAACTATCTCACAGCTGTTTGTTAGTGTTCATGTGTAACGTAAATGAATGGATAAATGCATCTAGATGGGTGAGTGAATGTGTGTGTGTCTGTATGTATGTTTTGCGTCCAAGCGAGTGTTTATATTTTACACCCAGATGTTTGAGGCTATGCGGTTATTTCGATACAATTACATGCACTCACATATACACATTCACACACTCCCAACGAAACATCTACTTTCGTCCATTCACAATCAGTGAAGAGTTGGTGAACGAGAGTGTCTACATGAATTGGACCGCTACTATGTCAGTATGTTTCTTGTTGTGTGCAGTCATGTGGCGTGTGTTTGTGTGCTTTCCCTCTTGTATGTGTTGATGTGTAGTCATGTATGTGTCAATGACCATTCAAGTGCGAATTTGACAAAATTAAATTTTCACTTTTGGCTTTACATACCCCTCCTAACATCAACACTAGCCGGAATGCCACTGCCAACACTATCACATTTAACAATATTTTAATAATACAGTGAGCGTTTAGGTTTCCGTCGTAGTTTTATTATGGAGGGGAAGATGCGAAGATCTCTTAAAGAGTAAAGCTACATTTGAAATAAAAATTTAAATCATGTAATTTAATGTAAGGAGAACATCATTATTGTAGGTTCGAACTCATCATATAATGTCCTCAGAATCGATGACTAACAGAGAAAGCAACTACATAACTTGACGATATTTGTAAAGGGGATTCCTTCCAATTGTATACCAAAACCAGTGAGCGCAGCAGTATAGTCAGACGGGGCCCCTCATACGATACCCTGCACAACTCTAACGGAACTCTAACATTCTGCGGACTTGTAACTTCTTGCCCGATTAGAGAACAACAGCCCCTCTTCTTAAAGGTGGTTCTAGGACCAATATTTCGCTGCGTTACAAACTCTAGGGGCTGCACAAAGATATTATACCCTGACAACATAGTTGTGTAGGCTGTAATGAAGAATTCTAGAAAAACTGTTGAAAAATAAAATCGAGATCAATAAGTCGGATTTCTTTGAGTGATTTCTTCCTGATGCAAATACCAAGATCTTGGTATGCCATTTACTCAATCGTAAAGAGTTTAACAAAAATGGTTTTAAAATTCTTGGAAATTGTTTTAAAAACATACCCACCTTCGACACTTGCAGTATAGCTATGTGAATAGCTTAAATCGAGTTCACGTGTCGTGACAGAACATATTAAATACAATAGACACACATATGTATATCCTAGTACACAGACTGATATGTTGTTTAGTTGTATTTTGAGGTATGGCAATATTCTTATCCGTAGCAAAGTTCTATTGTATTCTTCCCCACTATCACACACACAGACATACCATACGCACACAAACACATGTTTCAACATTTTGATGATAAAAGTGCTGTTGATAGAATTTCATTTCATGTCGATAGTTCTGCGTACAACTGCTGCTGATGTTATTGTAGCTGCTGACAATAATGGTGTTGAGATATGGTACTGGTACTGGACTGGCGTTGCTAGTCCGTTTACTGTCCGTTCATTCGCACCTGTTTGTCTGTTTGTTCACTGTATATCTATCGTTGGCTTTGGTGTCGACTAGTTGATCCTGTTAACTTACTTTAATTGCTTGGAATACTCAACAGTAATGTGTTGTAAATGAAAAACAATTTGTTGCAAAACGATACTCAAAGGCTAAGTAAATCTGTTCAAATCCATTTGGTGTGGCAAGTTGGCTTGGCATAGGATACAGCATGGCTGCATTTTGTACTCTGGAAAATACTAATAATAATGATAGTAATAACAACAACAACAGCAGCAACAAACGTTGCTGATGCAAAGTAATCATGGATTCGTCTCCGTCTCCGGTGTCTTTGTTGTTGTGGTTAGCCATTTCAGCTGCAGCTGCTTCTGCTGTTCGAAGGGCTAATGCAAATTCCATGTGGCAATTAGGGAATTGTTGCAGCCATTGTGATGCTGCATTAATTATAACACTTGTAACAGCAACAGCAGCTTAAGTGAAAAAGTTTCACTTCAGTCAAAAGTTTTCCGATAATTGTGTTATGTACTCAAAAGTTGTTTCCCCCCTCAGGTGAAGAAGTAATTTAAAATGTCAAATGCTTTTAACGTTTGCAGGTTTTTTGAAACGTGTGCAACAGCCATAAAGAGAGAGGGAGATGATATTGGAATTGAAATACAAGAGGGAAAAAAGAAAAAAAAAGAATCAGTCATTGGTTGACAATCAAATTACAAATAAACGGCGATATTGGGACATGTTTAGAAACTGATAGACAATTTTCTAACCGAGAGGGTTATTTTGGAAGCTAACTTACATTTATCCACGTTTTATGATAGGTCCCATATAAAAGTTCTGCTCCATATTCCGTGGCTGTAATTTGGCTTTCCGAGTTATTGAAAGCTGAGATATATCTTTGCTGAAACTGCTCTATGTAGATCCAAAATTTCATATAGTATTTTATATAAATGTCTCCAATTTTGGAATTTTAAAATTTTTATCCAAATTTTCAAGCAAAAGGGCTGTAAATCTAAAATTCGAGCTATTGAAGAGTGAACAACATCTT